TTTGTGTGTTCTGTAATATATTATAATGCCACTCCACTACTTTGTTTTGTATTATTAATCGAACTTAGTTGTATGGTTTGAAATAAATGGTTTGTAAACTATGTTATTGTAAGTCTTCCGCTATATTTACTCTGATGTATCTATTTGAATAAACTATTGTAATACTGCAATGACTCTATAATATGATCCTGCTCGAAAATCGTGGATGATTCGAGGTTCCCCGAGGACACCCGACAGTCTTCTTAAGTTACCGGGAACGTATGCATAGATGTCAAGGGTCGTTGGATATTGACAGGTGCATGTGGGCCCTATAATTTAGGAGGTTCTGCCACAACATCACTACTGCATAATTTTATAATTTTAGGATAAGCAAATTATTTACTAGCAGTTAATTAAGATTTAAAAGCAATAAAGTCATGTGACACAGGATAAATCAATAACTCAATAAATTAACATCCATTGGATATGAAATTTTTACCACATCACAAGCATGCAACAAGTAACCTACCATAAAAATTTCATAGTAATTGGATTCATATAACAACACATATGAATTTAGCATTAAAAAGCATAGGCAAATATCTATAGCAAAACTTTTGTACTAAAACATGTCATATTATGTATCTACTGCATAGATCTAGTTGTGTGAAGTGTAACAAAACTAGTTTGGCATTTTTATGATTTTTCTACGATTTATGAGTTTTCAAAGTTTCAACCGAATAAAACATAAAAAAAGGAAAAATCATAAAAGACAAACACTTTGCACCGAGGTCCCTAAACTTTTTCTGAATCAACCCGTAGTCTAGCAGTACTATTCATGTGAGTCACGAGATTTACATTAGGAACCCTAGAAAAGCTTCTATTTAAGTGGGAGGTCCTTCTCTTCTTCTTCCTCGTCATCACCGAGCAGCCGTGGCCGCAGGGGCACAGCCACAGGCAGCTACGGGGCGGCGGTCGGCGGCTAGTGGCAGTGGCGCTGCGAGGCGTGGCAGTGGAGGCAGTCTAGCCGGTGAGGTGAGCGGGGCATGGAGGGGAGCGGAGCGGAGGCGATGGGGAGATCAACTTGGCCTGCGACCGAGTGCAGCGGCGAGGACGGCGGCGCTTGAGTTTGGCTCCGAGCTTGGCCGTGGCGGGTGCTTGCGTTCTGTGAGCGGGGAGCGAGGAAGTGAGGCACGCGAGAGGGACTCGCCCTCCACTTGAGTGCGAGCGCAGGAGCAGGGCAGCGTGGCAAGGACGCGAGCAGGGCGTGGGCGACCTGGGCGCCCCTGTGCATGACGTGGGCAGCCAGGGCACGGGCGAGGTCAGAGCAGGGCGTGGGCGTAGCAGTGGCCATGTGCCTCTCTTTGACGCCCGATGCAACGAGTTAGGTCAAGAATTGGGTCCCACGTCCTATACAAAAGATCTTCATGAAATTGTAGAATACACCAACATATTTTACAGTTTCAATATAAAATAATTATTTATTTATCCTCCAAAAAACTATTAGGCCATGAAACACAAGGTAAGTTTTTTTTGGCATTTTTAATCATTTTCTCCACATTTTTCTAACATGAACCCTAAATAACTTTTGTTCGCAAACTCATTTAGAGATGTTTAAGCACAAAATCAAGGTTGGTTGACATCACACATGTTAACTATATTCACAAAGGTGATTTAAACAAACATGTATCGTATCATTTCCTTCAAGAGTTTATTACCAAGCATAGGAAAATTTATTCATTAGGTTTTATTAAGTCTTAAACTATTGTTAAACAGGTACGTAACATCGATGTGTTACAACGGTGACCCACGATGGCACCCCAGTAGCAGTAGCAGTAGGGCGGTTACGTTGTGTCAGATGAAACGTGATCTCCCAAATTAACTTTTAAAATATCCACATGAAACACTTGCAACATACATCTGAAATAGATGAAACACTTGAAATATATGCTTGAAACATGTGTGTATAGTCATAGCAATATATGCAACACCGAGATCTACTTTTGTAATATTTAGATGAAACACTTGCTACATGTGTCTGAAACATGTGAAACACTTGAAACATGTGTATAGAGCCATAGTAATACATGCAACATCGAGATAAAACACTTGAAACATACGTCTGAAACACTTGAGGCTTGCAACACATGCAACATCCAAGATCTATTTGCACAATTCAGATGAAACACTTGAAACATAAGTTTGAAACGCTTGAAACACGGCTTCGTCGGTGCCATAACCTACCTGGTGGAGAACTCTGGTAGCTAGCAAGCTCGGGTCCAGAGTACGTCAAGAGCAGCGGTCCAGCATACACCCTAGGCACAGCCCCCTGCCTCTCCTTCTGCGACAGGGCGACGTGGATGGGGGCATGGCGCAGGGTGCGGAGCAACGCGGGATGTGGTCGGGCGCAACGGCGGAGAGGAAGATGGGCCGGAGGCGCGGCATATCATGGTTGTAGCGCTGCAGCGATTTTTTTTAAGAAATTACAGTGCCTGAAGAGGAGCGGATAAGAGCGCCTCGTGGACATCGCGGCCCACCAGTGGGGCTGTCCGAATGGAGGGACCTCCTGAACAGAGCATTGCCGTTTTTAATAAAAACAAATTAAACTCTTGTTTTAAGGAGCTATTTGAAATGGTCTAACTACCGTGCTAAGGCGACGAAAGGGGAACACTATCTTTCCAAACGCACACATCACACGGACACAAAAGTCACGAAGGGGGCAGAAAAACAGAACCATTTCAGACTCACGATGGTCGGTAGATGACCTCATCAGCGTTCATCCATCGCAGCATCGCCAAACTTTGATCAGGGCCATACATCATTCAAGCCATATTGATTTAGCCGCCCAATCGTGCCGGAGAGAGCAGCACATCGTTGATCAGCCTGTCGAGGTTCGCGAGCGACCTCGCCGCCGACCCCGCGGCGGCCTCTCTCCACTCCGCTGCCCTGCGCGCCATCTCCTTCCCCTTGTCCCCACGCATCGCGTCCCGTATCCTCGCCTGCACGGCCTCCCGCCGCACGTCGTCGCCGACCTCCATCGCCACGCCCCACTCGACGCACTTGTACCGGCAGTTAGTCTGCTGCTCCGCGAAGAAGGGCCAGCACAGCATGGGCACCCCGGCGCCGAGGCTCTCCAGCGTTGAGTTCCACCCGCTGTGCGTCAGGAACAGGCCCACCGCCTCGTGCCGCAGCACGGCCTCCTGGTCGCACCAGCTCGCCAGGAGGCCCCTGCCCTCGGTCGCCTCCAGGAACCCCGGCGGCAGCGCCGCGGCCGAGGCGGTGTCGCCCTTGACGACGTCCGGCCGGACGACCCAAAGGAAGTCGTAGCCACTCCTCGCCAGCCCCCACGCGAACTCTGCCAGCTCCTGCCCGCTCATGACCGTCACGCTCCCGAAGTTCACGTACACCACCGACCGCGGCCGGGGCTTCCTGGCGTCCAGCCAGGCGAGGCAGGACTGGTCCTCCCGCCACAGGCTGCAGCTCACCGCGTCGAGGGGGCCCCTGCGGACGACGACCTGCTCCGTGACGGAAGCGAGCGGGCCGATGGTGTATACGGCCGGGATGATGGCGCGCATGGCGTCGAGCGCCGGCTGCTCCAGCTCGTCGAAGGTGTTGATGACAACGGCGGACGCGTACTCCGAGCGTTCCACCTCCTGTAACTGGAAGGTCATCAGCACGTCGTTGGGGTCGGTGGTGCGGAGGAAGGTCGGGAAGTCCTTGAGCCGCATGTGCTTGCTCATGCCGGGCGCCCAGACCACCGGCGTGTCCATGAACCCGTTCGTCAGCTGCTCTTCGTCTGCGCCACCCAAAAAAGAAATCGCATGTGGCTTTCGACGGATTGGATAGGGATGCAGAGGACCAGAGGCAGCAGAGCATACCTTTGAAGGGGATGATGCCCCTGTCGATGAGGAGGCGGAAGTTGCGGTAACCCATGTAGCCGCAGGCGCTGGCCGTCCAGAAGAGCGCGCACGGCACGCCCACCTCCCTGGCGGCGTCCACGCTGAAGCTCATCAGGTTGTCCGCCACGACGCACGTCACGCCGTCCAGCCCGGCGAGCAGGCTTCGCAGGTGAGGCGGGCAGTTGTGCTTGGTGGCGTGGCTGATGGTCGCCGGGTCCTGCGTGGCGTCGGCGTCGGACTCCGGCAGGCCGTCCGGGATGGTGGCGAAGCGGAACCCCGTGAGGCCCGCGACGGCGGCGGCGCCGCGGGAGCGGACGAGGCGGCGGTGGTTGTACTCGGTGTTGACGAAGGTGACGCGGAAGCCCCTGGCGTGGAGGATCTTGGCCAGCTCCAGCATCGGCGTGATGTGGCCCTGCGCCGGGAACGGCACGCAGACCGCGTGCGGCTTCTGGCTGGCCGGCAGAGTAGCAGCGCTCATGTTTGCTTTCCTCCTGGCCACAGGCCACCTGGGACAATGGAAGGGATCGAATTGTTATATCTTGACTTGATTGTAGTTTACTGCATAAATTGAGCAGGTGAAGACCGATGAGAAGCAGGCGACAATTTATCATGGGCGACTAATGGCACACACTTTTTGACTAGACTAGAATCTCCCAACTTTTGTTTGATTGCGTTTAGCAAGTGTCAAGCCACCATCCAATTGTAGTGTCCTTTAATCCAACGATAGAACACAGTTATGCGGATCACAAGATAAATTGTCGATCCAGCAGAGCGAGCGAGCTCTTCGTGGCTCACGCCGATCAAGCAAGACGAGCCAAAGCCACTACATGAATCAAGCAGCCCTTTACTTTTTTTGTACCCTTTGTTATGTATAGTACGCCAACACTTATCAGCTTGTTCAGTGGGACTTAGAGAAACTTTGGCTTTACATGAAACTAGCATTTTGTGTTTGACAAAGTTAATATAAAAATATCATACTTATTGAAACCAAATAAGTATAATTTATTTTTTTCCATTTTAATTCTTGTGTTATACATATAGATACACTTTTGAATTTAATCAAACTTTAGATAGTTTGGCTAAATATAGAAAGCTGAAGTCGTCAGCACTTGGAGAGAGCCGTCAGCACTTGGGTAGCAGGACGTGATTCTTGATTAGGTCGTCCAGGTTGATCAACGCCCTGCCGCCAGGCAGCGTCGCCCGAACGGCGGCCTCCTTCCACTCGTCCGCCCTCCGCTTCATCTCCCTCCCCTTGTCGCCGGCCATTGCCTCTCGTATCGTTGCCTCCAGAGCCTCCCGCCGCACGTCGCCGTCGACCTCCACCCCCACACCCCACTCGGTGCACGCGTACCGACGGTTGGTCTGCTGCTCCGCGAAGAAGGGCCAGCACATCATGGGCACGCCCGCGCTGAGGCTCTCCGTCATGGAGTTCCACCCGCTGTGCGTCAGGAACACCCCCACCGCCGGGTGCCGCAGCACCGCCTCCTGCTCGCACCAGCTCGCCAGGAGGCACCTGCCCTTGGTGGACTCCACGAACTCGGGTGGCAGCACGGCGGTCTCGCCCTTCACCAGGTCGGGCCGGATGATCCACAGGAAGTCGTAGCCGCTGCTCGCCAGCCCCCACGCGAACTCCACCAGGTCCTGGTTCGACATGGTGGTGACGCACCCGTAGTTCACGTACACCACCGACCGGGCCGCCCTGCCGTCCAGCCACCGCAGGCACGTGTGGTCTTCCTTCCAGAGGCTGGCGCGGACCGTGCCGAGCGCTGCTGCGTCGACGACGACGCCAGGGTCAGGGACGGCGGCGGCCAGCCGCTCGAGGAGGAGACTGAGCGGGCCGATGGTGTAGACGGGCGGCAGGATGGCGCGCATGGCGTCGAGCGCCGTCGGCTCGAGCTCGTCGAAGGTGTTGAGGATGACGGCGGTGGCGGCGTTCGTGCGCGACACCTCGTGCATCACGAAGTCGAGCAGGATGTCGCCGCGCTGCATCGTGTAGATGAAGCTCGGGAAGTCCCTGAGCCGCATGTGCTTGCTCATCCCGCGCGCCCACCCCACCGGCGTGTCCAGGTACCCGTTCGTCAGCTGCGCTTCGTCTGCAGCATGCATGCTCTAATCGATCACAGACATGAAGACGATATGCGTATATCCGAAATGCAAGATCCTTGTTTCGCCTAGCGCATCAGTCATCAGCCATCACTAAGGGACGAACCTTTGAGAGGCGCGAGGCCTTCGTCCATGAGGAACTGGAAGTGGCGGTAGCCCATAGCCGCAGGCGCTGGCCGTCCAGAAGAGCAGGCACGGCACGCCGATCTCCTTGGCAGCGTCCACGCCGAAGCTCATGATGTTGTCCGCCACGACGCACGTCACCGGCGGCACCCCGCCATCGCCGTCGTCGTTGAGGCGGTCGAGCAGGCTCTTGAGGTGCGGGAGGCAGGTCTTCATGGTGGAGTCACAGATCGCGGCCGGGTCCTGCGTGGCGTCGGCGTCCGAGTGCGGCAGGCCGTCGGGGATGGTGGCGAAGCGGAAGCACGGCAGGTCCGCGACGGCCTGGGGGCCCCAGGACCGGATGAGGCGGCGGTGGTTGTACTCGGTGTTGACGAAGGTGACGTGGAAGCCCTTGCAGTAGAGGACCTTGGCCAGCTTCATCATCGGCGTCACGTGGCCCTGCGCCGGGAACGGGACGCACACCGCGTGCGGCTTGTCGCCGGCTGCCATCTCTCGTCGGCCGGAAAGGAGAGAGTAATGCTGCGTGCTGTGTTCAGGAATTTTCTGTGGAGTGAATGAGTGGTCTATCTTCTGGATTGCTGGCGCCAATATAATACAGATACAGACGTGACGTTTTGAATCTCTCTTGCATTGGTGACCAGGAACATCTCTCTTGCATTGGTGACGTTTTGAATCTCTCTTGCATTGAATGAGTGGTCTACCAAGGCTACGTTCGTTTTGTTACAGAATGGTCACCAGGAACAATTCTAGCAGTAGCAGGATTCCTAAGCTAATTTATATAGGCTTTGATGACGTGAATTGGGCTAAACGAACGAGTCCTAATAAAGAAACAAAGACGCTGATATTATCTGTTGGTGCAGCTTAGTAGAAAGGTTATTTTCTTAGAGTTCTATATTTGAGGCACTTGAATTTCAGCAAATAATTTTAGACAACCAAATAGTGCAACTAAAAGCACAACTCATAAAAAATAACTCAAATTTTTTTATAACCAAATAATAACAAAACTACATATTACATGAATAACAATAAAAACATACACCTAAAATATATGAGAAGCAATTTTTTTAGTTCGAGATAAGGTAATCATTAGATTTTCTTGATGCCTTTCCCTTAAAAAAAATACTCCTATATCCCTCATAAATGACCATGTTTCTTGTCCGAAATAATTTTTTAAACGAACATATAGAAACAAAAGTTTTCAACGTACAAACATTTATGCTTATACGTACATCTCAACAACTATTTGCTGTCAAATGGACCAAAACCACCTCTGCATATATAGGCGCATAGCTGCAAATAGGGATGCAAGCGAACTATATATTGCTAATTTTATAGATCAACATATCAAACTTATATATAGGTTTATTATGGGCTAACCCGGTTACATCTCTAGCTGCAAAGTCTTGAAATGAGAGAGGCCAAGAGAGGACCTTCGATTCAGCTGCTAACTTTTGTTATTTTGGTCCATCGGCAGTCGATCTTCTCGAGAGCCATAGTAGAGGCACAAGTAATTGAGCAGGAAAATCTCGCGCGCCCTAATTTGGATCCATTATATTGATATCATGTCATCGTTACCTGTCAACCGAATTTTATTGATCATAATAATAAACTACTGATGGATCGATTGGTATCATGTCATCGCTATCCTGCTGCCACGCACTCCATCGCTGATAGCTCAATCAAATATAAAAAAGGCCGGCGTGCATACCACGCCGCTTGTGAATGAAATTGACAGCCATGCCAATGGTATTCAAAGTCACAACTGATTGAGCTATCAACGGAAAAAAAGAAGAAGAAAGAAAGAAAACTAGCACAGCACGGGACACAGGTAGGGCACCAAAAGGCTGTAGGGGACTCAAACTTGTCGAGCGGTTCTTTTAAGGAGCGTAACAATTAGAACAGAGGAATTATGAGGATAGATAGATGTGGGGAATGAAATTATAATATAAGCCTTGCCCTTTATTGTGATTTATTTACTACAAGTAGTTCTTGGTGTTACCGCTAATTTTTATTCCTATGCAAAAATGCTGACAGAGAAGGCGAAGCCTCTCACCAGCACCACTGCGAACTGAACAAGACAATCGATCAATAGCCGATTAGCCTTCTTCGCATTTTTTGTGAGCAGCCTGCAACTGGAACCCAACACCCCACGTGTCTGGAAGCGACCCGTCAGGACGAGCGCGCGGCGACTACAGGCTGTCCTAGGTCGGCCTGACCGTTGTTACGACCTTGTACACGCATATATCATATATGCTTTCCGGAACCAAACAAAGCTGTTGTACCTTACATGCATGCACGTACAATGGCTCTCCATCTTTGTCTCTCTTGCATGCACATGTTTGACATGTTTTTTTTAAGACAACAGAAGAAACTTCCCGCTTGTGCGTCACCGCACACAGTGTTTACATTATTACATAGATTCAGCAATATTGCTGATGATTCAACGAAACAAAAAATGCAAAAAATTTGCATGATGAAGTCTAGTATTAAATTTCCATCCATAGTGAATAGCTCCAGCACAGTGGCCTCTAAATTTCAGGTCGCTAACCGAAAAGACTCCTTTGTTTCATCATCATGATGCAGTAGTGCCCAAAAAGTGCAGCCAGTATGTTCCCCTGAAAATACCATGCATAAAAGATATATATTTGCAATTTGAAATATTAGATCATTACGACACATCTCCAAATTGCCCGGCATAAAGCAGCCACCCCAACCAGAATATATTTCTTCTCTTTTAATCAAAATTTGATAGCCAACTCCCTAACATGAGGGAAACAGAGCTAGGAGGGGTTAACCCAGTAGCTATATAGACAGTCCTCCATATTGTCTTAGCACGATGACAATCAAAGAAAAGATGTTTAATAGTTTCGTTAGACAATCCTCCATATTGTCTTGGCATGATGACAATCGAAGAAAAGATGTTTAATAGTGAAAGCATCTAAGTCCCTAGTTGGGTTTCGGTGATTAATGACAACACAAAATTACTATGACTAACGTGTGTTTTGCAGAGATAATTTTAGTTAGGTTATGGTAATGGCAATTGATTAGACAATCATGGTTGTCATGCCCCTGTCGATGGAAATTGATTCGATTTTCAAAGGATGGACGATAATGTTAAGGACGGACTAGTTCTAAGTGTCGTTTGGTGTTGAATAGACACTTAAAGTAGTTTAAAACTTTGTTTTTCCTTTGGCCGTAAGGGGGGTATGGACTAGTAGCTTGACCTAGGTGAGTCTAGTGGGGTAGGTGTGGTGCACACATGTCAAATCTAGCACTAGGTAGCTCAGGAATAGCCATAAGATCAATTGGAGTAAACTTCATTCACATAAGATTTCGAGTTGAAAGTGAATAGAGGGTCAAATGAGTGACCGGACGTTAGTCTAGTTATGATCAGACGCTGCAGGGCGAGTCCGGTCAGTTCATTTGATCAACTGCAGTCGTCTGGTACTGGTCGGATGCTGAGTGAAGGTGGACCGGACGCTGGGTGTCAGCGTCCGGTCAACTCCAGAGAGGTTCCAGAGAGGGATTTTCTTAACCGGACGCGTCCGGTCGATGCTGACCGGACGCTGGTCAGGATCCGGTAACTGACTGGACGCTGAACAGTGAAGTGACAGGACTCTGGGTGCTAGCGTTCGGTCAACATCAGTAAGGTTCCAGAGAGAGTTTTTCTTGACTGGACGCTTCCGGTCAGTGCTGACCGGACGCAGGTCAGAGTCCGGTCAGAGCATAAAGGCTCTTTCTGACACAGTAGCGGGGATAGCTGACCGGAGCGTCCGGTCACCCTGACCGGAGCATCCAGTCACCCCGCAGAGTGCTGACTCAGCCTCCAAACGTTATGTTTTGAATGAGGGGCGGGTGCTCCAACGAGAACTAGTGGAGAGTGACGACTCTCCGATACCTCGGGAAAACATCACCGTATTTATTTCTCTCTCTTTATTTTGAGCATTTACATTTGAGCAATTCATTTCTTGTCTTTACATTCCTAGAATTGTCATGCTAGAGTAAGATTGAAACCTAGGGTACAAAACTTTTGCGCGGTAGAACAATAGAACATATTCTAGGCACAAGAGGTAAAGTGGGCTAAGTGTAGGGTTTAATTATTATAAAGAATTTAGAATTAGCCCAATTCACTCCCCCCTCTTGGGTATCTTGATCCTTTCAATTGGTATCAGAGCCTCGTGCTCGCTATATTAGGCTTAACCGCATAGAGCAAGATGTCCCACAGAGATGGACCTCCTCCTATCTTTGAGGGAGATGATTTTCCTTATTTGAAAATCCGCATGGAAGCTTATTTAGAAGCTTTAGATGTTGGAGTTCTTAGAGCCGCCTCATAAGGCTTTCTAAAACCTAAGGATCCCACACACCTTTAAGGCAATGAAGTCAATTATGAGAAATAGAATGCAAAGGCTAGAAACACCCTCTTTAGAGGCATTTGCAAAGATGTTTTTAACCGTGTGCGGAACCATAAGGACGTCCATGCACTATGGTCGGACAATTATACGCTCCATGAGGGAACTAAGAGTGAGCGTGAGGAACGCTACCATCTTGTTATGAAAAAACTTAATTCATTTGAGATGCTTCCTAGAGAAAGTGCAAATGAGATGTATTCACGCTTGAATGTTCTTGTAGAGGAAGTCAATGGGCTTAGACTCACACAAATGCAACCCTCCGATATTGTAAGAAAGATCTTGAGTGTCCTCTCCATTGACAAATATGGGCATATTATGATGGTGCTTCATCAAGGTGATCTTTCCACCGCTACACCAACTCAAATATTAGGAAAGATCAATGCATATGAGATGTATATGCACATCACATCACAAGATGGCTCTTCTTCTACCAAGAAGAAAGACTTGGCATTCAAGGCTAGCCAAGAGAAGAAGGGCAAAGCAAGAGTTGATCATGAGAGTTCAAGTGATGATAAAATTGATGATGCAAGTCTTGCTCTCATGGTAAGAAGAACCGTCAAGATGCTCAAGAAGCTCAACAAGAACGGTGTCAAGTTTGATGGCAAGAAGAAGAAATTCTTCACTAGCAATAGAAGGAAGCCTATCTCTGAGATGAATTGCTATAATTATGGAGAACTTGGTCATCTAGCTCATCAATGTCCCAAACCCAAGAAAGACAAGTACAAGAAGAAGTACAAGGGCAAGAAAGATGACTCAAGTGATGAAGATGATGATGAGAAGAAGAAAAATAAGCCATACAAGAAGAAGGATGGCAAGAAGAAAGAATTCTACAAGAAGAAGAAGAATGGCAAGGCTTACATTATTGGTGATTGGCTCACGGATATTGATTCATTAAGTTGCTCATCCGAAGATGAAAGTGAGAACGAGAAGGTGGCTGCTATTGTAATTGATTCTTCACTATCTTCACCGATACCACCGCCGTCATCCTCTACACACCTATGCCTTATGGCCAAGGGTGAACGAAAGGTACAAAATGATGATGATAGTAGTGGTGATCATAATGCTAGCAATGATGATAGT